GGGAACAAGCAAAACATGGCAGCTAGCTGACACCCCCCACCCCAACAGCTAGCAATCCAAAACATTTCAGTGGAGCCTGAGTGGTGGGTGTTGTCTTCTGACACACTTCCAGTGAGGTCAGGGGGTGTGGCACATGCTAATGAGTTATGCTAATGAGCTCCTGCACCTCTTTTTCTACGAAATGACCCCTGGATGTCCATAAGCCAAAGGCTGTTTACGGTATTCTTAAGAGCTATTCATTTGCCATGTCAAAAGGGCAAAACTTGTCCACCGAAGATCGTCGGCTGCTGCTTCCCTCTCGTAATTCTCTCTCTCATTGTTCTTCTATCAAACCAGAGGCATGCTGTTGAACACTATGGTTAGCTAGATTCCAGTCCAGTCGCACCATAGAGACCCACAAGATTTCCAGGGTACGAGTTTTTTCAAGAGTCAAAACTCCCTTCATCAGATACACATGAAACGGCCTTAGACTGAATCAGACCCTTGGTCCAGCAGGGTCAGTCTTGTCTACTCAAACTGGCAGCAGCTCTCCAGGGTCTCAGGCTGAGGTCTTTGACATCACGTCCTTCCCGATCCCGGAGATGCCACTGAGTGAGGATTGAACCTGGGACCTTCGGTATGCCAAGCAGATGCTCTGCCAGTGAGCCACGGCCATGGTTTTCTTCAGGATAATTTGAAGAAAGACGTTAATCACCGCTTTGTTCTTAACAAAATATTGAGCTGAATCAAGAGGCTGACACCTTTCAACATAATAAGATTACTCCCTGAGGTCTTTGACATCACGTCCTTCCCGATCCCGGAGATGCCACTGAGTGAGGATTGAACCTGGGACCTTCGGTATGCCAAGCAGATGCTCTGCCAGTGAGCCACGGCCATGGTTTTTTTCAGGATAATTTGAAGAAAGAAGTTAATCACCGCTTTGTTCTTAACAAAATATTGAGCTGTATCAAGAGGCTGACACCTTTCAACATAACAAGATTACTCCTGAGGAAGATTGGGACGAAATGAGCTTATATCCGGGTGCTCATTGAGAACGATGGAATGATCTGTAAGATGTTTTACAGATAGTATTTAACAGATAGTATTTAGCTGCTGGAATGTATCAAACTATGTCAAATAATTGTTGGAAGTGTAAAAAGCATGTGGGTATGTTTTATCATAAGGAGCTGCGGTGGCTCAAGTGGTTAAGATGCTGAACTGCAGGCTGTGGAAGGTCGGTAGTTCAGCAGTTCGAGACCCGAGTGTGCCGCATGACAGAGTGAGCTCCCGTCGCTAGTTCCAGCTCCTGCCAACCTAGCAGTTCGAAAGCAAGAAATTACAAGTAGATAAATAGGTACCACTTCAGTGGGAAGGTAACAGCGTTCTGCGCGACTTGGTGTTTAGTCATGCCGGCCACATGACCACGGAAATGTCTTCGGACAGCGCTGGCTCTTCGGCTTTGAAATGGAGATGAGCACCGCAACCCTAGATTTCGAGCAAGGGAATCTTCACCTATGTTTTATCATATGTGGTGGATGTGTGATATAGTGAGTAAGTTTTGGGTTATGGTACATACTCTGATACAGTCAGTTTTGCAGATTTCAGTACCTTTTCAACCAGAATCGTTCTTATCGAATTGTATACCATAGAATTTTGACAAAAATCAAAGATATCTTATAATCCATGTAGTAACTGCAGCGAGAATTTTATTGGCAACTTATTGGAAATGTCCAACACCTTCGGAACATGATTTAATAGCGATTATGGAAAGTGCGGAAATGGATCAATTGACCTCTATGCTAAAAGGGCAAATGGAAGAAGGCTTTCCTGGACTATGAAGAAGAAGAGGAGAGTGGATTTATACCCCGCCCTTCACTACCCAAAATAGTCTCAGAGTGGCTTACAAACTCCTTTCCCTTCCCCTCCCCACAACAGACACTCTGTGAGGCAGGTGGGGCTGAGAGAGCTCTTGACAGAAACTGCTCTTTTTCAAGAACAGCTCTGACAGGACTATGACTTGCCCAAGGTCATCCAGCAGGTGCAAGCGGAGGAGTGGAGAATCAAACCCGGTCCTCCCAGATTAGAATCTGCGCTTAACCACTACACAAAACTGGACTCCATTCTATAATTGGATAAGAGAGAAATATAAAGATATGGACTTCTTAATAATATAATATTAAGACTTCATGAACTTTTAAATCTCGCAGTTTCTCTGTGTAGAACATTAAATCACAAGTAGAGGAAAGTTACATGCAGGAAATTATCGCTTTTGACCTTCCTCACTCCTCTGTATTTTAAAAACTTAATAAAGATTTATTTTTAAAAGAGAGTGAAAATGATGGACTTTTCCTTGTGATATTGCAAAGCTTCAGTTATGATATAAAGCGACGTTTACCTTGAAAAGGTAAATACTAAATCTCCCAGTCATTTGCATCACAGTCAGTGCCTGCTTGTTTGATGTAGTTCCCACCGGGAGTTTGGCAACCCTCGACCCCCGCGCCAGCTAGGAGAGACCGGATTGCTCATTCCTCCTCCTCCTCCTCCTCCCGAGGGCACCGGGCTAAAGCGCCCCGGGCTGGAGGCGCCGCCGGGGGAAGGCGGGATGGGCTCCCCTACCTGCGCGGCCGTCCCTCTTCCCGCCCGAACTAGCATTTGAATCGCCGAGGCCCGCCCTGGAGTCTGCCGGGCAGCGGCCAATGGGGAGGCGGGAGGCGCGGCGCCCGGCCGCGGG